ATGATATAATCTAATTCCCATGCATCGTGGAAAGTCAGCTTTTCATTGGCTTATTTTCGGGGCACGGGCAGGTATCTGGACATAACCGACTATATGTCGGCTTTGGCCATCTGTAAGCCAACCATCTTCCGGTGATGGCTCATGCACGAGTCACCTATAAGCCACTGATGGCCCGTTTAAAAAGTTTTAGCTTATCGTTTCCACACTGCAACGTGCAAACGATCCGAACGAGTAGACATATGGACCTACGAGTGCCAGGTGCGAGGATCCCGACCTCTAAATGGGTCGAGAGGGAGAAGCGAATTCTAGCAAAAATAAACACGAACGGGAATCCTAGTGTTTCGCGAAAATGAAAGTATTCCCTTCCTGCAGGAAAAGCGGAGCATTAAGCGAGGAATGCGAGTGATAAAACCGCATCCTTCGTCTTCGGGGTTTAGAAGTAACACCGAGAATGAAACGGATCTCAAGGATGAAATGGATCTGAAGTGGACTTACCTTATAGCTCCTGAGGTGGCTCAAATCGATCCACATGGGTAGCTCTTCGAGGTCGCTCCATGCGACCGGAATTTCCATGACGGAAACCGAACCTATCTGTATGCAAAACGTTGCAAAATGCTGACTGAATAGATGAGGCTTTTTGCACAATTCGGGAAAAACAGCAAAATCTCTTCAGAGCTTATCTGCGACCGATTTGAATCCAGTTTTTAGTGAAATCTTAAATTGCTCTTTGCTGAAACTTTGGGCTTCAAAGAGATTTGCCAAGTTGCCAGAATGCAGGCAGATATTTGTCCCTTTTCCATATCCACACCATCAGAACTCTTCCAACCTTACTTTCAAACTTCATTTTTCATTTTGAAAAATAATAGTTTGCCTATGAATTAATCACTAAGGCTTTGAAATCCCTTCCTCAAAAAATGGGAAAATAGGAGCATTTAGAAAAGCACCACGTTCTCTTTATATGATTAGCTCTCTTTCCGATTTTTTCCTCACAAACGGCCAAGGACAGGGCCGGATTAAGGGGGGGGGACGAAGTAAATTAAAACGTTAAATATTTGCGTGAAGTAGCGCAGGGGGGGGGGGGGGGGGTAGCCTCAAGAACCCACTTGCCCCGGGCCTCGCAACTTCTTAATCCGGCCCTGGCCAAGGATATAAGAAAAGGGCGTATAGGCTCTGAGAACTCAATTTGGCCTGTTGAAAGTTATCTTCTGATACCGTTCAGAAAATGCGATTGATCCAATGCCATTCGACGAGATAGTTTTAACGCAAGATTCGGTTTTCCTGCCTCATCTTGCGTTCAGAGAGAGAATTTTCCCTAGGAATGAACGCCTGATTTCGTTCGTGATGGATAGAAGAGAATATTCCTGGATGTCGGAGCGACAGCCGCTCCTCATCGTCTCGGCATCATCATGGATCACAAGGCGTTTTTCTTTTCGCATCCCATTTCATGCATGAAAATTCGATGGGAAAAAAATGAGATTCCTCCTCCGCACTCTTGGCGTCAGTATAGCAAATGAGAAGAAATCGGAATCCCCTCCATCCCAAACACCTTCGACTCCCTTTGTCCCCCATGCCCCCACTTACCCCCCTTAACCCCCCTCGACCCCCCTCCTCTTTGTCCCCCCCAAGTCCCCACTTGCTCCCCTTTAACCCTCCCCCCCCCTCCCTCTTGTCCCCCACGAACCCGCTCGTTCTGTCGGCCTGTTTACCATCCAGAATGGTGCGAATTCGTATCAGACCCTTTACGACCTTTACGATTATGATACGAAGTATGTGGAACCAATTACCCTGCGTCGTATTTACCAAGACCTCGTTTGATTACTCTGTCGAGACAGAAACAGGCATATGACCCTACCCTCATTTATCCATGCACTGATTTCTTCCCATGCATGACATTGACCCATTCGCGATTCTCTCTTGATCCCCCACAACTTCGGTTCGAGATGCCCATTACTTTAAACCGAAATTCTTTGACTTCACCCATCGTAAGAAACACCCGATTCACTCTAGAGTTAACCGATGGGTCGGATGGTGGATTCCGTAAGACTTACACTTTGAAAACCGAGTCAAAGTGTAAGCCTAACAGAATCCAAATGTTCGTGAACCCGACACGACGCTTCATTGGAAGCTTTGCCTTCTTTGTGCGTCTCTGCCTCTGGCATCGCGCCAATTTGAAATCTGGTCGAGGCACTTTAATAATGGCTGCAGAGAGAAAAGCAGCCGGATGCCAAAGTATACCTTCCCGGACGTGTCAGAAGCACGCCTCCATCGCGTTCAGGGAATCCAAACCAAATTATAGAAAAGAAGGAATAAAAAGACAGTAATTCTCTTACGAGAGTCGGAAAAAAATTTTCCCCCCGACGGTGACGCCCCGCGGTTCGCGCAACACTGTTCCCAGGAAATGAGACGGACGATTCATCCTGCGAGGTTGGACGATGAGTCGTTGTCTCCTCGATGTGCTCTGCCCCCGAGTCCAAGGAAATGCGAACCTCGCGATCGGAACGATCTGTACCAAACAAAAGAAGGAGACGGTGCGAACTTGAACTCGAGCCAAACGTGAGTAGGGATCGCCGATGGACGATCCCTACTCAAGTTGCTGAGCTTATCTGGATCAGCTGGATTCTCATTCACGACTCCTAGTGATCGTGAAAACACGCCGCTCCCCGCTCCCGGAGTCCTCATCCGGCAACTGTATGCATGGGTCGTCGTCCTGACCGAGATACGAGGGGGTATTGCAGTCCGTTCTCGAGAGGACGGAATTTGAGAAGGTGTGACGTCACTGATCACGTCACCAACCGTGTTAAAAAGCGTGAGGAAGGCTTCTAAGACGGGGCTCGTTCAGCCGTTCTCGTGACTCAAGGATCCACCAATCAGGAACGACCGGTTGCGTGGACTATGGTATAGCCAAACGTTGTATGATTCGAGCCAGTCCTCAATTTGCGCACGTACGGTGAATTTTTGTTTTAGTTGGCATCTTACGTTTTGCATGGTCGTGCTCACATTTCCTAAATATTTCATCGCTTCATTGCCTTTCTGCATCCCTTAACCGAGTAATGAAGTGCTCTTGCGGAAATAAAGACCGAAGAACATTTATTTATTTGGGAGTTCACAGGTTGTCTCCACGTGATCGATGGTGCTCGAGTAGATGCTTCAGAATAAAATTAATGATGGAAATAAACTCTGGATTAACAGTCTCCCTAAAAGCAGGACTCCAGTGAGCCTGTGGTTAAATCTTAGCCTTACCTGTGGTTCGTCGAAACGCTCTGAATGGAAATTAGAAGTGAACGGCAGAAGTTTAATTGCATGCAACAAAATTGGGAGAGAAGTAACACTCCTACGAACGAAATAGCATGAATCTTTCAACCTAATTACAGGTTTTTACGCTCTCCGAGATAGAAGGAAGAACTTTACGTTTTAAGACTATACTTACCGGATTGCGATGTCTGATGCGTCTTCGATTTGTCTCCATCGATCCGGTGAGTAAAGGGTCGTTTCCCTGTTTCTTGCCCAAGAAAGGCTGAAACCCACGAAAGTCCTCATGCAGGCCAATTGATTGCCGCACTGGTGGTCAAAGCGGTCGGAAAATACGTTAAATTTGGACATTGTGGGATCTTTCGGGTTTACCAGAATCACACCATATTTGTGCATGACTGCGTCGAATATGCCCTCCGATCGGACGTCATACATCTTGAGACCCGTAGAAGTCACGCCGGATCCATAAATACAAGTACCTTTCGAGAGTCCATAACTCGAACGTCCTCCTCGATGACGGGTAACCCAACCCCTCTAATGATTAGGTGACGTCAGAGTCCCCTGCATTAATGGGAATCCTACTCCAGAATGAGTTTGGCAGCCCTCGTCTTCCTTGAAACTCCGAGTGAGGCAGCCCCAGACCTATTCAGCCATGGCAGGGCCTAGATGTCCCTTCGCTCCGTTTGCTTCTGAACCGTTGTCTAAGGCCAATTCCTTTCCAGGGTTTTTAACCTCACATCTCATTCAACTCTTTCGGCGTTACATTTTCGTTCCTCGCTTGGGAAGAGGGGTGCAGTCTCCCCATCCTAACCGCACGTGTGATGAATATCGCAATGGATGACGTGTTTGGCATCGAGTGGGATCCGTAACGGGCTTACATACAGTACCGCTTGTTCAGGGGCAGCCTACTATCGAAAGCGAGTATTCTTTCTCAATTGCAGAATGCATACCAAGGTGAAGAGCCATTCCTTCCGTCAGTAAACTGCATTGACACCGGTTGATGAGATGTGAATCGAAATGAAGAGCAACTACCCAGCAAACAAGGGCACGTTTGACCAACGTTGTATCAACGTCCCGAACGTTCATGTAATGTTGATTCAACGTTATGTGTTTCAAATTGTTTGCTGGGTAGGTTTTGAAAACATCACGACTGGGCCATGAAATGAGACGAGAGATACTCAATAAAATATGCAAATATAATAGATGGGCTCATAAAATAATATAAATATAAAATAATGATGCACATCGAAGCCAAACTCAAATTCATGATTTTTGCAATGTGTCCCAATAGAATAAAATGCACTGCAAAAATCTTTTCGTTTCAATGTGTCCTCTTCCCGTAAAAATCTTAAATTTGGCGTGTGCCGTTTCCAGTAGATACGTATTGGCAGGCTAGAATCTCAGCAGGAATTTCGATCACGCCTGAAAGTGTTTTGTTCCTGCACGAAAGCGAGTCATTCCAGCACAAATTACTATTGGGTGACATGCACCGAATCCGTTTAAGCTAAACTAATCTGATTTCACAAATGTCCCCTATGGGAATCAGTTTAACAGAGATAAACTTATTCCCATAGACGCCTATTATGAAAACGAATCAGTTTAAAGTTTAACGAATCTGGTGCATGTCACCCATTAAATTGAATTAAAAGATTAGCATAGATGTAATATCGGCATGCGATTAAAATTACCATAACACTAAATTGGCGCGCAAATACAATTGTTATTCATAAGAAATTGCTTTGATGGGAGGGTATAATTACATGGGTTATGATTTGAATGATGATGCAGATAAAGGTGAATAAGGTGTTTCTGCGGTAACTCAAGCTATTTCCCTGGTGCAATCTCAGATAAGCTGGGTTAAAAGTACCCCAACTTGTTTCCCAACTGTCATATAATAATCGATCTATTGCCTCGGGCAGGTGCCAAAAGATGATCGACTGGGTGTCGATCGTTCGGGGCTCCAGCCGCCGGCTGTCCAATCGCATCCCGGCCTACATGTTCGTCCCCAACATCCGCCGGAAGAGGAAGAAGCGGGTACCCCAGGCGCCTCCGGTGGCGATGGACGAGACGGACCCGGGCGTGGACGGGGAGGAGAAGTACGTCCCGCCGCCCCGCCTCTGCTGCTGCTTCACTCCGCTGCTCCTGCCTTCGGTGCCAATCTGCTTTTCGAATCCATTATTTTCTTTTATTATGTTTTTTTTTATTCCTCAGCTGAGGATTGTTCAGGATCATTCAACTAACTTTCCCCAGATAATTTCTAAAATCACCTGTAATTTTAGCGCTATAATTATCTCTTTTTTTCACTTTCCTTTTCAAGTGTGAATTGCTGTGCGATGCGATCCTTTCCAGCTCCTCAATAAGAGCAAATATTTGCTTTCGATTTTCATTTAAGGCTCTGAGAATGTCGAAGACGTTGAACTCCTCGAAGGACAAGAACGTGGACCCCAACTGTCGCCTGCATGGAGCGTCAACCTCCAATCAGGTGATTGCGACGTTGCTCCATCGCGTGAGGGAAGTGGGACAAGTTTGCACGCCGCGTTGTATCCGGGGGGAGCAAGGAGCTGCGCGTGTTGACTCGACCGTGTTTGAGCACCCCGGTTTATCTATTGCCGAGCTGATAAATCCAGATAACCGCGGGATCATGGAATTCCTCAAGTTTTACGGTGAATCACGCCGTGAGAATCTTGCTTTCGTCTTCGAACCAGCCGGTTTTATTTTCTTAAAATTCTACTGAAGAAATAATTCCTACTTCCCCCTAACCGTTCTAAAGGGAGGAATGTCGTTCATGGGAAATTTTCCTATACCTTTTCCTAAAGTGGTTGGCCTCAACCACGCCATCGCTATTTCGTAGAAAAGATAAAAAGTTGGGTAGCGAGCCTCCCTATGCGTGTAACGCACACATAACGCGGAAGGATGACGGTGGCATGTGGAAGGATGCCTGCAGCGTGTGGATTCACATGAACGGGCGGCCATGTCGCGGCGCTATCTGAGATCACCAACTCCAAAATTTTAATTTTTACCGAAATTCTTGCAAAGAGAAGTTTGTGGGTTCGGATTTATTGAATTTCGTGTAGTTGTCTGAACGTCGACGAAAGCGCGTTGGCACACGACATTCGGGCGATCGTATTAAAAGCCTCATTACTTTTCCCGGCAAAAAGTGGGCCGTTGAAAAAAAAATTGGGATAAAAATAAAAATTTGTTATGAGGGCCATTAGCCTCCTTGTTCCTAAACTTTCCCCTCGAGTCTCCTGTCGTGGATCCAAACACGCGAAAGCATTTGTCACTGCCACTCGGATCGCACCTGCTCCAGCCCTTTAGCGAATAAAAAAAAATAGAGTCGATTGCACGATTTTTGCACCTGTTACCTTCGTGAAGGACAAGGAACGGTAATAAAATATCGGCAGCACACGAGGGAATTTGAGAGCAAGGTTGATTACATCGACATTATACTTTTTTTCGGGAGGAATTTTCAGCGACTGTTGTCCCGAAAACAACAGGTTATCCAAACGCAAACGAACGCGTTATCTACGTCGAAGGTCGACGTTATCAGCGCGAGTAGGGGGGACAGAAAACGGCATTCCTCGCACTGTGCAGTTCCTCGCGGCGACGTGGACCCGCGGCGATCATGTTCGGAAAGCGGGGGATTTTGGGTTTCCTTGAACGGCGGCCGAATCGGCAGGATTCCAGCGACGAAGACGTCGAGGCTGTGCGTCTCCATTTCAGTTTTTTTTTTTATACATGAGGATATTTTATGCTTCCGTTGTTTTGGCACGTTTTGGCACGAGTTTCGACTCGATTCGGGAAACGTGCACGTACGACGATGTTTTTTCCCGTAATCTCATTAGTGTGATTTTTTTTCCCTGCATCCTCTCACCGAGGGGGCTCCGTTGTTCTTTTGGCAGGTGCACTCGCCCCTCCTCTCGTCCGCTGACAGATACGTGAGTCAACTTCCCTCCCCTTCCTCTCGCGCACTCCTTTTGCCAAATTTCGATCTCCGCCAAATCTGGGAATTTCCGGCTTCGGATTTTGCAATTTCAAAGTTTCACTCAGACCGTTTTTACGTTTTTTGACACTTTTTTTGCCACTGGCGAAACATTTAAATTAGGCATTCGTATCGATTTTCTTGTGGTTGTTTCATCTATAGATCGAGTTATTATGTATTTTTCAATTTGAAAGTGGATCATAAATGGTCGGTTGTGCTTGAATCCATTAAAAGGGGATGAAATCGAATCAAGCTCTTTATTCACGCCTGACTCTTTTCATGCATGCACATTTATGCTTTCAAATAGACCTATCAATAGTTGCCGATGCCAATAGTCCCCAACGTCAATAATTGCCAAAGCCAATAATTGCCTTTGAATATGAAGCCCTAAAATAAATGTGGAGGACTTGTAGGACACGGTGATCCCGAGTCAAACGGGAACGAGGTGAAGGGACGTAGAACTCCGTCACGCAAGAGAGGATCCTCCGTGGCAACGTGCCCAAAGCGTGGAAGGGAAGGGACGGGACAGGTCCAAGGAATAATATAGACAAACCTGTCGTGTTTGCCGCCTCCCTCCTCTTCCTTGAAATCCGATCTCCGTCCTATGGGGCCAAACGGGCGTTTGCCAGCGCGGTCGGGTCTCGGCCGGGCCCATCTTGCTTCCGATGGTGTTTTTGCACTTCTGGAGGGGCGTTATGGACGAGTTCATCTCCGAAAATCCACCATTTTCGGTTTTTGAACTGGTAATTTGTAACCGATCGCTCGCCTCGTGCGTATGGATTATCGCATCACGCATTACTTGAGGCTTCGATACATCCTGACGGCCCGGCTCCACTAACCCGGAATCCCAGTTTTTTTTTCAAATCTCAGCGAAGCAATGGGCCATGTCCTTGCGATGAATTATAGTGCTGCGAGTACCGTAACCGCATTTTTTCACTTCACCTGCCACTATCAGGAAAACCGCGCCAGACGGTACAAGTTCATGCGAGCAAGGACACTCTGTACTCGCTTTGGAGGAACGATAGTTCTTTCCCCACGGCGCAGATGTCACTAGCTGATCCTGGTTCTCGGATCAAGGCCGTTTGAAATCACTGTACCGCATTAAAGCTGTGATGATTTTCGAGGGCGGGAGTCGTCATGTTCACCTTGAACTCAAAGCAGCCTTCGGCCCATCAAAGATCAATCTGAACACCCATAATTTGTTTTTTTGTGATATCTCACCCACGAATTTTCGGCGCATCTTTTGTCGAAATTTGAAATAAAAAGGCGAGAAATGAAAACGAGGGAATGGCCAAACTAGCTGCCATGCACAAAAACGGAACCATGAAGCTGGAGCTGCCTTCATTGAATCGCATTTCTTTAAATCGCATTTATTCCATTGGGGAAGCGTTAAAAAAATGGTACGTTCATGCACAGTTGACTGCTATAAACACCTAGATCGCGCGATTAGCCGCTTCGGCGAGCTCAAGGCTCCCGTCTCGAAAACGAAGCAATGAGACAGATCTTTCTCGTTTCTCTTCCTTTTTCCTTATTTCTGTCGTGCCAGACGAATTGCGAGCTCGAAATTCGAATGAAAGCAAGACGAGAAAATAAGGAAACGATGGGAAAGCCTGGGTAAGATTCCAACAGCGTGACGTCAGTGGTTGAAACCCGAGAACAGATCGAAGAATGCCTCAATCGAGACGGAGTTCGGGCTTGCCCAACCGCTTTTTTCAACTTTATTTCCATCCTTTAGGCCCGGAATCTGAGTCACTTAATGACGATTCACAGTCACTGCTCTACCGATGACGTTACTCTCAGCTCGTGGAGATTTTGGCCTCTAAACAGAATTCTAAACAGAATTCGAATAAATATGTATCATTGGAAAGGGCGTCCTTCGTTGAATATGATGTAATTTTATTTACAGATGGCTTGGAAAAGTGGGTCAGGCTAAGTTAGCTTAGCTTATTTTCCCCAAAAATAAACATGTCATGTTATTCATGTTATTTCAGGATAAATCTACTGCATATATGGCGGCCGGACTGATTATTCGACCGGCGAATCGATTAAAGTTTAAATAACGACACAAAATAAATTAAAAGTAATCAAATTGTTATCGGTTCTTAAATCTCCCTTGAGTGACTTCTGTTCTCTTCCCAATTCACTGATTAGCATAGGAAGGCTGTGGCTTTTTGCACTACCCACTTTTCAGCAAAAACTGCGTTTATCTTAGAAAAGGGAACACGAGAACGAACGTTGATGAGAACCTCTCGAGGAGATTTTAAACAAAACCTTGAGATCATTTCATATAGATTCTGAGCAGTCGCTGTTATCCTGCAAGGCCGTAACACGATGTAGACCTCGAGGGAAGGATTTTTGCACCGGACGTAATGAGGACGAGGGACGGGTCCATGTCATCCGCCATCCGGACAGCACGCGCGAGGCGAGAATACGCTCATGCGATAAGGGAGATAGTGATAGCGTTCTCCGTCCGTTCTCTGGGGTCTGAGTGCTGTTGTCCCGCCTGCCACTTTCTCGCGCGAGGGAGAATTAAGATTAAGAATAAGATTAGACACTTTCGAATCCACGCGGATTGCGTCCGCAAGTTGAAACGGAGCCTATCATGATGAACTGCACGCTGTCATGCAGGTCCCATCCATTCCTGACGGACCCGGTGACCGCTCAAAATCAACTAGAAAAGTCAATATGCCTAATTGACTTTGATGTCTTTCATTCATCAGATTCAGGGAGCAATATAGGGGCATGATAAAGATTCGATTACTCATTTATATGACCCAAAAGAAATGAATAATTTTTATGATAATTGGCAGTCCTGCTATAAACAAAGAAAAGGTTAGATCAAATTCAGTTTTTAAGCTGCAAACCCACTCTTTTGAGAGAAAACATTCTTACGCTGTTTCACTACTGATTTGGGTGGAATTTATACACGAGTCGTTTCCTTGAATATTCCCTTCTTTACGCATGAGAAACGCTTTGTTTGCATTTAGCCGTATGTTTTTCCTTGTTTGTTTTAGATTATCAAGCGATTAATTCGAGCATAATTATAAATATGGGTACTTAACCCAAACAAAGCTAAGCTATCGTAATTTAGCCGAATTAAGCCTAACTTAACATAGTTGTAACTGTTCATATTTGAGTTGTTAATTCTGCAATGAACGCCTTTATAATACTTTTTTTTTTTCTCGGATTCGGTTCTTGAACCGAATATGAGCAGACACCTTTAATATCACACGTGGTGGGAAAACTCCACTGGTTTTAAGGAGTCGAACGCATTGGCTATGAACCAAATCCTTTTGGGATCGAATCAATCTCTGCATAAGAAGCTCAAATACTTGATGAATGTTTTCGACAGGCACTGAAAACGTTGGTAGCTGGAATATGTATACAGGGTATGGCACAAAAAAAGACCAACGACTTTCAACCTAAATATCTGCCCTCCCAATAGTTATTTTCGCGAAACTTTCACATTACATATATGAGTATGTTTCAGACTGATACCTCAAATTTTACCCGAGTTTGCGGTGTCGAAGCAATTCCATCAGCAAATATTGAAAAGAAGTTATACATTGAGAATGGACAAGAGCTCCTGCTGTTGGTAGTGCCGACTCTTCTGGTTTGCCGCCTCCTAGGGAGGGGGCTCGAGTGTGTCCACCCCACTACCAGCGGGAACTCTTGTCCATTCACAATGTCTAACTTCTTTTCAATAATTGCTGATATAATTACAATAGCTACAATACATTTTGGTAAAATTTGAGGTATCAGTCAGAAACATACTCACATATATGTAATGTGTAAGTTTCGCGAAAATAACTCTATTGGGAGAGAAGATATTTAGGTTGAAAGTCATTGGTCTTTTTTGCCATACCCTGTATATACAGGTATATATATTAAACCGTGAAGGTCCACTTCAAAATGGGATGTCATTAAAATATTAAATAAAGTTCCATTTTGAATGTAATATTAAAATAGTTAAGGATGCAAGACGGTCCGGGTCTCCCCGGGCAACTTTCACATTCCAGGTGGTGGAAGAAGGTTGGGAGCTGGTGGAGGTGGAGATCGAGAGGGGGAGGGGTGGGCTGGGGGTGTCGGTGGCGGGGGGCACGGACTCCCCGCATTTCCCGCAGGACCCGAACATCTACATCACCAAAATCATTCCGAACGGGGCGGCCTTCCGGGACAAGCGCCTTCGGGTATGCGGGATTTTGTTCAGACTGTTCTTTTCTATATGCATTTTCTATTGGATTTCGCGGAGAGCAAGGTGACTGATGTGATGAGTTCGTAATGATGTGCGATGTTTCTAAGGCTATATATTGCCCTAATTTAAATTAATATAAAGGATTGATATGCCGAGTAAAGCAACTCGTCGGTTGCAGTGATATCTCGAAAGTGCTTCACATAATGTGACATAATGGCATGCATGTGACGTCGGCATGTGACATCTGGGTGGCTTTAAACGACAGGTGAACGACGTCTTGCTGAGGGTGAACGACGTGGACCTGGTGGGCGTACCGCACGGCTTCGCGGTCGAGACTCTCAGGGTGGCTGGAAGTGTCCTCAATCTGGTGAGGAATCTCCCTCGCTGAAACAAAAACAAACAAAAAAACTGACGAAAGAAGACGCTAGACCAGTGGTTCTCAACCTTCCTTTTACTCCCATTGAACCTTCATGCATTCGGGGGGGTGACACCTCCCAGGTTGAGAACCACTGCTCTAGACGAAACGAGTTGTGATGAGTAAAACCGAGATGCTTAAAATTTTTTGGGTCAAAACGGTGCCGATAGATTTTTGCCAGGATGAATTCAGTTCGAAATGAAATATTTTCCCGATGGACAACTCCGTAAAATTGTCTAAGAATTGAAATGTACGAGTTCTTTTTCATTACTGCTCCCCACTTGCAGGACATTGTAAACAAGTCAGCAGAAGGCTACTCCCCAACTCCCTCTACTCCCTCTTGGACAGAGCTTTTATGCTTGGCCTCGCTCGTTGGACAATATTACATAGACATCAGTGGGGATAACGTTTTTGGTTGTTAGCTGCTTAATAAATTCGGGAAAAGAATATTTGGAGTGTTACACTGGATTCTGAGACATCTACCAGTAACCGAAAACAAGAACTGCCATAATCGAAGCTCGACAAAGAAAATCCCTTCCCCTTCAGTCTTTTCATTTCACATCATCACTTCATAACGTATCGCCTTTGAATTACCCTCAACTGAGAAATGCTATTAGACTGAACAACATTCAGTTCAACTGGTATTTCAGTCTCCGACCCTTCCCCCCCCCCCCCCACTCCCTCCACCTCCCCCCCTCCTCACTCACAATCCCACTCACTCCCCCCCCCCTCCTCCTTGAACGCTGCGTTCCCACGTTTCGTAACACCTCACTTTGCATTCCTGAGAGCGAGATAGGTATCTACTTCCTGCCATTCACTTCAAGCCTTCCTCGTCCCAAAGGTGGACATAGCCTTCATTTACGTTTACTAACTTTTCTTTCATAGATAGATGAAGAGAATTTCTTATATTCTTTGGCTCCATTAACGCTTGCAGTGTGAACGGTATTGTTAATTTATTAATTAAGCTTAATTTAACATAACTTTTTATTTGCACATTGTTGCTCTATGTTTTTTTCAGCGCAAAAGAAATTTTATATGTCTAGCAGGAGTTTCATGTTCATCCTTATTTCTGTTTTGCATGGAGTTGGTGAAGCGGCGGAAGACTTTGCGACAGCTGAGTCCGGGGCAATATGAAGTGGAGTTGACGAAAGGAGATCAGGGTCTCGGGTTCAGCATCGCAGGGGGTATGGGGAACCAACACATTCCAGGGGATGCTGGCATCTTCGTCACCAAGGTTACCGAACTCTTTTTTTGCCTCGTCACCGAGGTCTCTCGAGTGATGTTTTTTTTCTTGCCGCGTTGCGTCTAACAAAGTGAAAAGTTAGGATATCCCCCCTTATAAAAGAGATAGATGTAATAATCCCGACTACTGCGTGGATTGGAACTATGACATTCGGCTTAGCGGTAGATTACTACTGTAACTGGGCAAGTGAGAGTTTCTTCTACAAGTGTTCTTTAACCGAGTCAAAAAATCATGACAAAATTTGGCTTTTAGTGGGTTTGCTGTTTTATGAATTTCTCAAAACTCAGAAGTTGGGCAAACATTTTTGGATACATTCCAGGACCGAATAAGAGCAAATAAGAATTTGACAGGAAACTTTCCAACTGGGAGTTAATGCCTAATTGAGAATGAGAGTCTGGGCTCTCAAAGGAGCACCACGAATGGCTCTGTGGATGCTCGCCTGCTTCGCGAGTGCCTCCCAATCTCCAATCTGGTCATTCGCAGGTGATGGAGGGAGGCGCGGCAGCGGCGGAGGGCACGCTCGAGGTCGGGGATCGACTCGTCGCAGTGCGCAACGGCGCCGTGAGTTCCACCGTCTTTCGCATAGTTTTCAAAGGCCTAGCATATCCCAGGCAAAAAATTTCGTTGGTTTATCGTCGGGCCATAGCTGGGGAAGTTGGTTCAAGTCATTTGCCAATCGTTCGCTGAAGATGAGCCAATGTGGCTTCCGAAGGTTCCAAAGAAGGTTCCAAAAACCGGCGTGAGATGGAGCAAAAGTGGTCATAGTAGGGAGTCACTTCCCGGATTCTACTGAAAAAATCCCCGTCCGATTGACACAGTTCCCAATGGTTTCTCATATACATCTCAGAGGAAGACAATTGAATTCCTTGAAACATTTCTCTAAAGATGTAACCTAGCCCTGGAATAAACCAGGAAATTCCCACCTGGAGGTCCGTTGGAGGATTCTTCTACTTTCCGCGATAAGCTACGCGACTTGTCTTCTCTATTTAAAGACATTGAAAATCTCATTGCGTGTAAGGCGTGCCTGGTCTCCTGCGAGAGGACAGGCTTTGCATCCCCATGTGATTCCGGTTCTGGAAGCCCTAGCATCCGGAATGGATGTTGCTTGGGATATTCTCAGCTCTTAACGGTAGAAGTGTACCTGTGTAACGTATTGGTCCTTCGTCTCTCTTAGATGAAGGAGCTGTAGGGACCGAATGATGCATTCTTATCTCTCCAAGGTGCATAAATCAATAGGTGCAGTTTATGTGGGGTTTTTTCCTATATCTTTTCACCATTGTGAAAAGTCGGCCTATGGTTGGGGCATGTGCGGTTTCCCAACAATGAGCCTTGGCCAGATGAAGGGCCAATAGGACATGCCCGACCACAAGCCGGCTAAACCTCTTTAGTGGGTATGACGCATATATTCGTCATGGTGAGACTCTCCTCAGGAGGGTTTGGCATTTTTATTCCACCCCACTGTATTTCAAGTTTGAGTTGAATATGAATTCGAAACCAGAAATAGGTGTATAAACTCGAGAAAGAGTGGTACATTTCTTACAAAACTTGAATTTTTATTCTCACTAAAATAATTTCTGACTTCGGTGGTAGGCTTATATACGCATCGACGAAAAGCCATCGATGGCCCGATGAAAAAATTTTTGACTGGGATTGGTAGAGCGACAAGGACACGAATCCTCGATAGAAGTCGATGAAAGTGTGCATCTATCCAATTATAGAACCAAACTCATCTGAATGCGCCGAACGTCCAGATCATTCCTGTCCCTAAGCGCTGCAACTGTAACGGCGGAAAGGAATCGACTAAAATCAGAGCCATTCGGACTCACGCGATGGCCTTCCGAAATATTCTTGCTCCCCTCGATGAAAAGCAAAGTATAGAGATTCAGAGATTTACTGTAATGGAAACCTTCAATATATTCCCCATCTGTGGAATTAGTCACAGCAATGGGACAGTTTTCCAATTCCCTTAGCCAGGTTGAACTTCCTGGTCGTAGCTCTTAAATGATTTTTTCGAATCGCTACTCGCACAAATCTCATAATATTCATTATGCAAAAACAATACTTATTTAAATGTTTGACCTAGTTATTTACCAGAGATCCGAAAACCTGGCTAATTAAATAACGGTAGCATCACTGGGATTTGGTCATTGGACAGTTGGGGGAATATATCGAAGGTTGCCATCCTATTTAATCTCTGAATCCCAATACCTTGCCTTTTAATTTTGGGGGCCGGAAACTTTTCCGAAGATCCATCTTATTCCTTTTGTGGAGACAGCTACGACCGATCGAGCCTTTTCTTCAATGGTTTTCCCCCGAGACGTCACATTGACATCATCATTGCGGGAAACGTCACATCCGGGTCGAACTCGATCTCATCACGAGAGCCTTAATTAGTTATCGGAGGTAATCAGCGTCACTCGACCTCCCGCACGGATGAGGAAGTCGGGCAATTACGCGAAGCATGATCGGTTACATAATGCAGGAGACGTCGCTGGCGTCGGATTGGAGCCTCATCAACGGGCAATCGATTTCCTTGACGTCAGGAGAACGCCATTAGCAAGGCAGATGTGAGACAAAGAAGACGGAACTTCTTCCGGATTCATTAGATGGGCTCGAGAGTGTGAGCTCATCGGTTCGCGAAAAGCGCATTTGCCAATCTCGATCGCCCAGTACGCCGGGAAATTCAGAGAAAAAGTTGACGAATAAACTTGGTGATTTTCGGAGTTGGCTCTTGCTTCACGTTTAAGAGCTTCCTGCTGTGTAGTTCAGAATGAGCTATTAGAACTCAAAATGTGAACCTCGGAGTCCATTTTCGCTGTTATCACGGAAAGGTGTTGACCGACTCCGTGAATTGCATACAAATTAAGCTCGAAAAACAATTTGATCAGATCTCGGGGTCCGATAGGCATGCCGGAAATCCGCTCTGCAGATGAGCGAAATTTCACGGTCTGAAAAGTCACCAGTCGGAAGTTATTGCCGGAGATGTTGCCAAAATGCCATCTCAATTGCCATAAATACCATCTCAATCGCCAGAATTGCCATCTCAGTTGCCACAAATCCCATCTCAATTGCCATCTCGTTTGTGCTCACAAAGAGTTTGCTCACGGTTTTGCTTATACGACGTAATATGCTTCTGTCGCTCCAGAGGAAGTTACACGTGCGATAATTGGAGTGCGGATGCGGAATGTAAGAGCGTTGATGTATCCCTTAGGACGTGATAAGATGCGGACGCATACTCTCTCATTCTCAGAGCTGAAAATAGACACTCGCTGACTGCATAGCTATTCTCGTGTGTCCCATGTCCGCTTGCTTGCCTATCGAGGAATGTCGCCTCGGATGAGACGCACGGTAGGCGGTTACCTGCCGGTTCCGTCCTTCCTTCGGTCGAAAATAGAGCGAAGCGGCTTGCAGTCCTACCCGGTCTGTTGCTTGTCTCTTTAGCCATGACTGAAATAAATCGACCGGGCCACTGTGGAAATTAAGATGCAGGTGGATACGGGGACGATACCGGTTCAGTTCTTTTTGGGAAACATTTTCTTCGCGAATTTTTCGCATTTCAAACTGCATGAAATGCATCATCAACGTCTACCAGAGTAAACAATCTTTTCCAACCTTCGTAGCCGGCGGATCCGTTACTGACAAACGGAAAGGAACTTGGAAGCGTAGATAGAGTTGCCAACTAAACTTTAAAAAAAGCTTTATCTGGCAATCCTACGCGTCCCCAGTCACGATTCATCGGCTGCATCCACCTGGTCCCAAAAATCATATAAAGCGGGCTCACTGCTAGACTGGGCTTGCCCAACTTTATTTCAAAAATGAAAACAGGAAGAAGAAGCTGGGGTTTTCGACTCTGAGTCATTTACTCCATGACACTTCCTGCCTTCCTCTGAATCACATCATCAGTTTCTCATTTTTACTTTATCAGTGATCCCACCAGCAATTTCCCCCTCCTCCAGGCATGAGTCATGCCCCAATGAAATGGCAGAGCCAATCTTACCCATTGACAACTGAGCGCAGTGACTCCCGAAACGGCAATCTTTTGTCGCTTCCTGCACGACATCATTCATCCGGAGAGTTGAGGCGCGTTTTTGCGAGCCACTTGGCACGGGTACCAGGTACACCGGCATGGGTACCTGAGCGTGATGGTGCGTTGGCATGCTACGACTACGACGTCTTGGTGGTACCTGCGTCAGGGATACCAAAATTGTGAAATCTGGGCAACCCAGTCAAAAATGGTTCATTGGGCCATAGATGGCTTTTCGTCAATGCGTATATAAACCCTAGTTAGGCCATCACTGGCATATGGTTGGTTTAAGCCGGCTTATGGTCAGGCATGTCCTATTGGCCCTTCATCTGGCCAACTCATTGTTGGGAAACCGCACATGCCCCAACCATAGGCCGACTTTTCACAATGGTGAAAAGATATAGGAAAAAAAACCCACATAAACTGTACCTATTCAATGTCTTTAAATAGAGAAGACAAGTCGCGTAGCTTATCGCGGAAAGTAGAAGAATCCTCCAACGGACCTCCAGGTGGGAATTTCCTGGTTTATTCCAGGGCTAGGTTACATCTTTAGAGAAATGTTTTTTAAAAAAAATTCAATTGTCTTCCTCTGAGATGTATATGAGAAACCATTGGGAACTGTGTCAATCGGACGGGGATTTATTTCAGTAGAATCCGGGAGGTGACTCCCTACTACGACCACTTTGGCTCCATCTCACGCCGGTTTTCGGAACCGTCTCGGCCACACATTGGCTCATCTTCGACTAGTTGGCCGGCCAATCATTCGCCGAAAATTAGCCTATTTCCCTATCTATGGCCCGACAATAAATTAACGAAAACATTTGACTGGGAATGTCCCCTCTAGTACATCAGTTCTACATGGTACTGAATTGGTTCCTGGTGTGTGGTTTTCTGACTGATGGCACTGATAGCAGGATGATGCTCCTTCAACGTTGACAGTATGCACTACGAAACCCAAAGGCTTAGATTTAATAGGGATTAGGGGAGAAGCCATGATTCCACGCATTACCTCATGGAGCGAATGACGTGTGTCTGCGGGCTCCAAGTCGCGTATCATCTGGCACGTGTACTATGGCATTGCGCTATATTCAGCAAAAAGCGCACCTTGGTTGGATTCCAACAGCGACTCAGAAAGAGAAAGAGAGAAAGAGAGACGTCAATAGAAATGAGGAAGAACTGGCATAGGCTTTTTCTTTCATAAAAAGCGTAATATAGTATTGCGAGGAGGGAGTGAGGCGCCGATAGACGCTAGTCCTGCTTCATTCTGTCCTCTCAAGAAAAACCTTTACAAAAAATACTTACAGGTGGTAAAATTGGACCAAGAATTTCCATGGAAATGACTAAGGTTCTATGTAAATTTTTTGTTATTCCCTGGTCATTTCCACCATAGGTTGTCGATTCCCTGTAAATGGCCCCCTCGACCGGGAATTTCCGTCAATCACCGGTAACCTTTTTGTAAGTAACTTTTTTGTTTGCGGTTTGCTTTGAATCGCCTTGACAGTCCATGTCACCTTGAAGGAAAAACAGTGATGATTCAATCAGCTACGCCCTAGGAGAGGTTCTAGCGGTAGATCACAGGGAGTAGTAATATACAGTAACCAAAGACTAAATTGAAGGGAAATGTTGTAACTCGAGTTACACGGACCTGCTTGAACCATCTTCCAAGTATCGACGAAGATTCGTCCTCACTTGGATGAAACGCATTTCGAAAGTGGCCCTGACCGATGGGTACACGGGGAATAAAGGGGCAATTGATAACAATAAAGAGCACCGACAAATAAAGGGCACCGAAAAATAAAGGTCACCAACAAATAACGGGCATCGACAAATAAAGGACACCGACAAATAAAGGGCACTAGACGAACAAAGAGAAAGGTTGCAATGGACATTTGTTCAATTTTGTAAGCTGAAATGTAATTGGACGTGGCAGGACGGAGAGGTCAGCCTGGAGAACGTGACGCACGAGGAGGCCGTGGCAGTCCTCAAGGGATTGCGAGACGCGGTCGTCCTTGTCATCGAGAAGCCCAAGCCCTCGAATCACCATAACCCCATCGATGACGATGATCGGGAAGAGGATTACGGCCCTGTCCTTTGTAAGCAGACGAACTTGAAATTCAACCGTAGGAAATAACGAATGTAAATTGGTGTACGTGCATGGTTTGTTTTGAAGTTTCTCCCAAGACGGAGGCAACCCCGAATCAATTACCGGACGACAGGCAGCCGGCGTCCAGCACCCATTCTCCACCTCAACCCTCAATGTGAGTGCCCTCACACCTTCCACGCGGTTTGGTCCGACGGCGCTTTCTCGTCTCCACCGTTGCGAATGTCACTGGCCTTGTTAAAGAAAAAAAAAGAGAAGAAAATGCTGTTATAATAATAAATCCAAAAAGAGTAATGGTAAATCATTGGTTGTAAAAATTCTTGTGTTTTGCAGGGCCGCAGATGGATTATGGTGGGGACGAGAAAGTCGTTGAGATCCTCAGCTCTGCAATCTTTTACCACTTGATTCTTTTTTTCTACTGTGTATAGTGAATTCGTCAATATACGTCCTTGTACCCCATTCGTGAATTCAGTTAGGTAGTCTGGCCTTCAGAAATCGAATTCATCTTGCTTTTCGTGGAACTGCGGTTCGATTTTATTTGACTATTAGACACAATTGTCCTGTCGCATTTCCACCATGAATGTCCTGCTTGGTTGAGGGCTTAGGGTTTTTAAAGGTGCTTGAATGGGCTTTAATGGTGCTCATATGGACTGGAATGAGCTTCGATGGAACATCCTTACACAAGCCGAAATCCTTACGGAAAGTATCATTCGTCTGACTGAGATCACAATCTCAAGAAACTAAGAAAGGCAGCCCTTTTCGAATGCGTGACGTCACGAAGGAAGATTCTGAGTTCTGTTGACCCCTGGCTTCAAGGCAGCTGCTGGTGTTTCTTTAGAGGTACTTTGCCCAAAAAGGCGACTGTCTTCGCACCCCGACATTCGCAATGAATTCGTACTACACTTCACTTGTGCATGTTACTTCTGTGGTGATTCAAGGAGGTGAGGGTAAACCTAGGGTGCAACCGAAGTGGGGCGGGGAGTATGATTTAAAGAGAATATAGCTTCATTATGAATGATCAGGACGAAGGCCGCCGTACACGAGGCAACTATTGTTGATCCATCGTCGCACGATCGTCGCCGAGTCCCTGAGGTGGGACTCCGCCAGACTCCGCGCACGGAGCAATCTGCATGTAACAGGATTAGCGATGCCAATCGCTTAAATCCCGACCAATCACGAAAAAATATGAAGTTTGTCGTCTGCTGTCAAAGTGGAAACGTTCAAACGCGCTCTTGATTTTGATTCTAACGGAGGAAGGAGATGAAAGTGGAGGGCGAGGCCTTGGATGAGAGAAAAGGGCACTTCCACTCCTCGATGGTGGAACTTCTTCTTCACGCAGCTCTCCCGTCGTTTCGGAAATGGAATGAAATTTCACGACTTCGCCGCTCCAGTGGATCCACGTTCGTCCAAACGTCGCAGAGCAAGGCAGTCGTGAGGGACGCCATATCCACTCCTGGCAATCACTTTGCGCTTTGAGACGTTCCTGATGAGAACCTAAGAAAAACTGAAAACGTGATGCGATCGGTGAATGCAACGACATGGCCGGGCCTACATCGTAGGACTGTCGTCGGACGACAGGACGACTGTCGAGCGAAGGCAATTTTTCTCGGGGAAAATTGAGAGTGAGCAGCAGTGAGTGAGCACGGAGCAATATGCACCCGCACCGACACTGCAATATCGTGGGGAGCAACGGTGACGCAAACAAAAGTTGCTTCGTGTGCGGCGGACTTTAGGCGTTACCCCTTCTCTTCCCCCCCTTGCGATCCCTTTTTAAGTTCCAACTTTTTTTGCATGAAATTTCTATAATAAAAAAAAACTTCAGAAATGAAAAAATCACATTTTAAAATAAATACCGTCCACAATCGCTGAAAAAATGTTAGTGGAATAAGGAAAAGTTATGCTTTGTAGCAATGATTTTCATTTTAGAAAATTTTATCACACGTTGCTATACAAAGTTTCCAAAATTGCTGTCCTGTAAACAGGATGATGGAACGAAGTGGGTTAAAGGTCGTACGGATTCAATTTAAAATCACTGCATGGACGCGGTCGGCTCGAGAATAACAATCGTGCTGTCGGAGCAAAGATATTCGACGCACTTCTCATGGACATATCTTGCTTCCGGCGTTCCCGCGGTGCGCCTACGATGACCCTCACACGTGCCTATGAGACGAGTCCTATTCCACGTCCGAAAACGAGAAACTCTGGTTCAGGAGTCAGAGAGGTAGGAGGTTCGCACAATTGCCCCTAGAAAGGTTGATAGCCAGCAACGCTGTACACGTGACAAGATCTGCAGAATCAGGCAATTCATGACGCAGCATAGAGAATCCGACCCGCGCACACCTCTCCCCCCTCCCTGACAGTGACGCAAGCATGAAGAAGCCTTGAGGCGGGGCGAAAGGAGTGTTTCCTTCCTTCCCTGCGCTGTCCTTCCCTTACCCATGGCTCACAGACCCGTTCGCCTTTGTGCGTGATGCAATCACTTGTGCCAGGGTCTTCTGGTTTTCTCTTCATGTATGCCATTCATGCAGTGAATTTCTATCATGACTAGGCCTCAACGTCAGCAAACCGTCATCCCCAGGTATTTCCTTCCTTATCGGAATGTCGGCTTTCCTTCCTTTCTCTCTTCTGTCAAACGATAAGCGGGCTGCGTTTCCCGGGTCGCGTACATTATGACTCGTAGCTCAGCCGCATACTGAGGTGTTGTCAGTTTCGGCGTGGAATAGTTGGACGTTTTGAACGGCGTTCGAGCTGTCGGGTGATATATTGCCACAAGTTTTAGTTCTTGTCTTTCGATTGCCTGATTTCTTTTTTCCTGTGATCTTTTGGAAACGGCTAGTTAGCATCTTGCTATTATTTCCTAGCGTTTTCATAGCAGACGGTGTCAATGGAATCTTCTTGCATCTACCCTTGTGGTATGCCTGCTCAAAGTATAACGTCATCGTATTTTTTCAAAGCCGTGCATAGCATGTGAAGAGAGAAAAGCATTTTCATGTCGGTTGCGTTCTAGTCGATTCGGCATCAGAGCTCATCCTAAGCTTCAGCAGACGAAACATTCTCTAGTATGATGTCACGTTACGTACCAGACGACGCACCAAGCGGGAATCAAACATGGCGCCTGCCATGCCTTGCACGTTGCGATCCTCGTGCTGGGAGGATTCTGCGCAGAATCCCATGATTGATCGCGGTTCGCCTGCCCCTGTGGAGGCTACCAGACTGGTGTCTTTTAATAGAATCTTGTGTGTCTTATCCCCCGCTGCTCTGTTTAGGGGCTGGTCGAGTTGCACAGGGTTCTCCCTCCTACCGCCTCGCCCTCCCCTATTGACATGCTCGGCTTTTCTCACCATGCGTGTCGGCTGCCGGGCGCTCCCGTCAACCCTAATTCCTGTGGTTTTCCTACTGATGCCTCTGTGATAGGCTTTGAGTCTGCAGTGTATTGTCTTGTGAATCGGCCCCGAGGAACTGCGACCAAGGTCTTTGTGAGAAGGGGCAGAGCCTAGCTGGCATATGTCACGCTTAACGTCGGCTTGGGTTTCATTGGCCTAGCGAACACCTGAGTTGGATTTTCTAGGCCTTCGGCAATATCAGCCTGGATTATATTAGTCCTTACTTCGTTCTTTACGTTTGGGACATCATGGATATATTCCCTGATTTCTGAGCATCAAGTAGGTTTATTGGCATCTTATGATATAACTTCTGGTGTGTCTGGCCTAAAAGTGCTAAAAACGAATTTGGCGAGAACTATTGTAGGTCTGTTCCCTGAATCAGAACTTGCTTTCTTATGTTTGGAATAGGTCTAATGTACTAACATACTTCCAGTTCTATGTTTTTGGCAAGTAATTATGTATTTAGGTTTTCTCAAGGAAGGGCTCTTCCATGTTCAAACTGATTCTTGAAGAAGCATATCCATATTTGAGAATCCTAGATCAAGGCCCACTGAAAATAATACATAGATCCATACTAGTTTTTGGAACTTTTAATGGCAGAGGAAAAGTGTGGAAAGAATTACACCTAGATTTATAGTTTTATTATTCAGGGTCAATTTCTTTGAGTTTGCTTCTAGTTTATAAAAAAAAGAAAAGATTCAATTGGATCTGACATCCAAGTGGATTGCTACTTTAATTTCCATTCCATTTTGCCTACAGGGAATCCAGGAAAGTGGTATTACAAAAAGGTCCAAATGGCCTGGGTTTCAACATTGTTGGAGGAGAAGATGATGAGGGAATCTTCATCTCATATTTGCTGACTGGTGGAGTGGCAGAAGCATCTGGTGCCTTGAAGATTGGTGATCAGATCATTCGTGTGGGTGGAATTGATTTGAGTCATGCAAGCCACGAAGAGGCAGCTCATGTTCTCAAGAGTGTGCCTCTGGGAGATGTAGAACTCATAGTCCGCTACATGCCTCAAGAGTACAACCACTTTGAAGCCAAGATTCATGATCTCCATGAGCAAATCATGGCTGGGACCTTGAAGCCTTCTCAAAAGAAATCTCTCTATGTACGGTGAGTATTAAGCTTGCATAGTACTGGTATTTGAAATTGGTTTTTAGAATCTGTTTAGGGTGGATTAATTGATAAGAAATATTGAGACAAATTTTCTCATAAGAGAAAACATGTTTCTGGAGTTCCATCTGAATAAGTTATTCCCAGCTGCTCACATGGGTGATGGTCCAGGTTTTGATTTTGTAGTCGTGCACCATTTTTTAATGTCTGAGAAGTAAACCCTTTGGAGCAAAATATTTTCATTGCCAGTGACAATAGGCATCAATGTATAGGTCCATTTATCATAGCTACTAGTAATCACATCCAAGAGTATGATTACTCATGACTTGAGAAAAACAATCTCTTACTATGTTATTTTCTCAACAGTCATTTTAATGTTGAGCCACCTGCACAAGAAATCACTTTAGGAACTGTCTCAATAACTAGCATTTTGGCAGCTGGTAAAGCAATGTAACATTTAGGTAGTAGCTAATTCCAAATGCTCAGCATTTTGGTAGTAGGAATTTGGTTTTGCTTTTTGAAACTCATGTTTTCTTGTGTTGACTAATTGAATCTTGTTTTTCTAGTACTTTGTTCAACTATGAGCCACAAAAGGATGATGGCCTGCCAAGCCGTGGTCTCCCATTTACGTTTGGGGAGATCCTTCATGTTACCAATGCCTGCGATGATGAGTGGTGGCAGGCTAAACGTGTCCTCCCTTCTGGGTCCGAGGGAGAATTGGGCATTATCCCATCCAAACGGAGATGGGAACGGAAGATGCGTGCTCGAGATAGGACAGTCAAGTTCCAGGGCAAAGCCTCTGGCTCCATCTCATTGCAGGGTTCAACTGTGAGTCTGTTCTGCCTTCACCATGGATCCATGTACTTTTTGTTGGGGTTTAATTTTTATTTGAATGCTAAAGTGTTCTTCAGGTTGCACTTATTGTTCCTATAATAATTTGAAAGTATATTTGGGATGCTGAACTCATGGTAGGCTTCAAAGTAGAACTGTGATTGCAGCAGAGCACATTTTACTACGAGGCTGAGTTATCTTCAGAACTAGACCATATAGGGTTTATGGGCTTTCTGAGGTTTGGGGATTCTTTTTTTTTTTTGGCCTCTTTTTGAATAGGCCAAGTGAACCATGAGTCAGATTGAACTGTCGTGTTCAAATTAAAGACATACTCTGTCAACAGGGTGACCATTAACCCTTACTGTGCCAAAGTTGAAGAGCAGGCAATAAAAGGATTAAGAATTGTATTCACCAGTGTGCTTGGTTGTGTTTATCCTCTCACTTTAACTGATCTAGTACCAGCTCTTTGACTGGCATTTTTTATATGAAATTCATAGCATTGATCCAATATACTTAGGCAACAAAAGGGTCAAGTTGTTTTAATTACATGGAAATGTGTATCTCTGGGTCTGTGGCTAGGTTGACCTTGAGTCTTGGGAAAATTTTTTTTTTTAATTTAGAGAAGGATAATGTGCTAACACTTATAGATGCATTTATATAAATAAATACACATTTTTTTAAGATTGAGTAGAGTATGAATCTGATATTTTGTCTGCCCAGTGCTTCTGTATTTATAGTTCTTTATTCACAGTCGAGCCTGGATCGAAAGAAGCGCATCACTTTCTCAAGGAAGTTCCCTTTTATGAAGAGTAGAGATGAGCGTGGCATTGGAGATGAGGATTCTGACCTTGAATGTGAGTCCCTTTTAATAACATTAATCATTTCATAAACACAGTAATTAGAATGTTGGTAATGGAAGCAGGTATTGACCAGTTGCTGTTAGTGGTAAATCTCGAAAAGGCAACACACCGTTGTGGTGAACCTTATGTCCTTCAAATGGTCCCTTAAAAGGCTGAGCTGTATGGATGAAGAAGGGAAGCTGTGGCTTTGAATGGTAGATGAGCCATGTGTTGCATCATGGGCCGACCTTGAAGCCCATGTGTATACATGAGACAGGAGAAAGGGTCCATGCTCCAGCATTCATGACAGGAGAGATTATGCAGCTTTGTTTTTGTTCCTGAGATGCAGCTTGCTCAAACTGATCAATTAAAGCATGTCTATACAATATGCCACATGCGTTGACATAATAGAATCTTGGATGTATTAGTGAATGAAATGTGTAATGCCAGAGCATGTATGTAGGATCCTTGAGGGCAATTCATAAAGTGTTGATCTATTACACATGTTCAATTTAGAAAGCTTTTGCTTACCATTGTTGACAAGTGCTTTACCAATGGCAGGCTTAAATAACTGCTGTTGTTTACTTAAACTTTGTATATAATATTTATTTAATGCATACTATGCATAATATTCATTCAATATGTCTTCTTTGCATAAGTTTCATTTGCAGAGACTTCATACAGTCATTAGGTCTCGCTTTCTTCCTTGTCATTTTAGCAACAACAGTGGCCTCTCGGAATGGAGAGACAGGTAGCCTGAAAGGGGGAGAGGAGCGGATCCTATCCTATGAGCCAGTGGAAAGGGTGGAGATCTCCTTTTCTCGCCCAGTAGTCATCCTTGGGCCACTAAAAGACCGCTTCAATGATGACCTCATCTCGGAGTTCCCTGACAAGTTTGGCACCTGTGTCCCACGTTAGTCCCTTTTTTTTTCTATGCCACATTTATGGTGTCTAATCCTGGATCAGTTTCAAAAATACCAAAATATACTCAATCATCTCCAAAAAACTAAAAAATCATGGGAACAGAGGTTGACCCCAATGCTTGAAACCCACCCTTAGAAAAAAATGTTTAGCCTTTGCCCCTTTGGGTATGATTGACTTTTGGGCAGGTTTGACCATGCTTATGAATTTGTGGTCCCAAAATTTTCTGTGTGAAACTTGACACCTCCGGAGGTGGGATATTGTTGACCAGTGTATGAATGACCTACTTATGCACCAAGTTGCAACTTCTTCCATTCAATCCTATGTAGCTTTTAGAAAGTTGTGAGACTTGACATTTTTGTTACCTTTTGACCCTGTGGGGCATTTGGTGAAACCCTAACTAAAATATACTTGGAGAGCTCTGAATATGTGTTTACAAACGTTTTAGTAGTCAAATTGGTTCCCTTCATGGTTCCTTAACACATTAGCCATCAAGTATATTGCTGGTGGTACATTTTGCATGTTGAAAGACCAGTTGGCCACCATGTTAAAGAGAATATGGAAAATTTTCCCACAAATTCTACTTGCCCAGGTGGCACAGAAAAAACAATCCCTACCAAAGATATTTGAAGTAATGACATGAAGTTTAGAGGATATTACATATATGTCTAAGTAGCTCTACTTTAATGAAATTGGTTGTTCAGAATTCTATTGAGTAAAATTTAGTGTGGTGTCAAATTAATTAATGTGGCTGTGCCTGCATAAGTGGTGAATTTAATCATGTCTGGAGAAAGCAGTTGGGGCAAGTATGGCTCATCCATTTCACATTGGGTGGAAGAAAAGCTTATTGGATTTCGAAAGGCAGATTTCATGTGAATCTTCATGAAAGCCACCCACGCATGTTGGATTTAGTACTTTGTATATTTTCCATTGATATCTCTTATGGTGCTCCTCCTGCATCGATGCAAGTTGAAACTTTTGGGGAAAAATTGTTGTTTTAAAACCATGCATGGGACCTACCTGAAACTAATTTGGATAAGTTGGCACACTTTTAGCTTTATAAAATTACATTGGTCACTTGGTCAAAAGTTGCTAAGAATGCCCAATTTCATAACTTAAGTCAAACCACCTATGTGGGATTGAGTGGAAAAAGTTTAAACTAGGTACATTTGCAGGTCATATTGGATAAAAGTGAAAAAAAGGCTATGGCTGTTCCTAAGTTTTGCACTGGGAAAATGATGGGATTGCTGATTGAAAAAATTGCAAACTTTGAAATTCAGCATGAACATTAAAAAAAAAACCTGCAACATTGTGTATTCCACATCACTGAGAAAGTCTAGATGAATAGATATGACAGTTACAGTCAACTTTTGTTGTAATGAAGTTGCTGAAGTTATTAATTTTTATCTGGAGAGTGTCTTATATCTCTATTTAAAGCACTGAATCCCTTTTAATTTTATTTTTATTGTGTGATTGTGTTATAGGGGCCCAAGGGTTATTGAGGATATTGCACATCAGATATCATGGGCTACAGTAATTGAATTAGTAAAAGCTTCCATAGTATGAAAGCCATACCCCAATTAAAACCATTTTAAGTTAAACTTGGATGGAATGAGTGAGATGAAGGAGCTTTCATCCCTCCTGACAATGAAGGAGGCTGAGTATGAGCTCTGAAGTGCTCTATCAACTCTCATTCATCTGTGTTCACATCCCACACTGCAAGCACATTCACTCACTCACATTCCCCCTATCATGAATGTTCTACTTGTCACATATCTCCCCTACATTCACACAGGTCATGTAGTTGAGGCAATGAAAAGAGGGGCAGAATGGAGATGAGAACTTGATATTTCAAAATTCCATTAACATTTTTTTAAATTACTCTTTTCATTGGGGAAATGCACTGCATCCAATGACATTTCTGTCCAGGGATGCCACAATTTTTCCATCATGACTCATATGTACCCCATTTAATTGTAATGATATGATTTTGGTGTTTTTAACCTAATGGCTGTCTTGTCATGTTCTGTGACAATCTAGCATGAGTGCTTTTTGCCTTGTTCTCTATCCCACAGTAAATTTATTTCAATGATGCCTTAATCATTGAAGGCATGAAATCTGGTGTCTGGGAATGTCCTGAACATCTCCACAACTCTGCTTGTGCTGCAGATACGACACGTGCACGTCGAGAGTACGAGGTTGATGGTCAGGATTACTACTTTGTCCCAAGCCGGGAGGAGATGGAGCGGGACATACAGAACCATTTATTCATTGAAGCTGGCCAGTACAATGAGAATCTATATGGGACATCAGTCACTGCCGTCCGACGTGTTGCAGAGAATGGCAAGCACTGCATCCTCGACGTGAGCGCCAGTGCCATTCGGAGATTGCGCATAGCTAATCTTCATCCCATCGCAATTCTTATTCGACCAAGGAGTCATGAACTCCTCATGTATGTTGTCTTGATGCTTAGACTCAATCAGAATGTTAACTTTTTCTTCAATCTCATCTCATCTGATGAATTTGTCTCATTGATTCTGCATGTGAAAACTGGAAAACAACATATTACCTCTGAAAGAGAAGTTCCTTAGGTTGTTTCATGATTAAAGAAAATCTTTGAACAACAAAATTTCCCTTGAGGTTCTAATCTGGATCTAGTCTGGCACTCTCTTTACAAGTAAAATGGACTGGAAAGGGTTAATGGTCATGATAACAAAAGACTACTTGTCTAAAAGCAATGAAGTTTTTGTAATATATAACATCTCATTTTCCCTGCTTTCTTCCCCTGGAAAGGAACAAAATGTCAGACAAGAAGATTCTTTCCTAATTATAATGATATATCTGGCATGCCACAACTCTTGACTTTCTTAATGCCTTCCTTTGTGTTTCTCTTTTCTGGAACAGGGAATGGAACAAGAGAACAACAGAGGAACAGGCCAAGAAGCAATATGAGAGGGCACTCAAACTGGAACATGATTACTTGGAATATTTCTCTGGTTAGTTCTGTTTTGAATTGCCCATATCTCCTGTAGCCATTCTGCATTTGACTTGACTTGACATAACCTGAGGCCTTCTTGTGCAGCACTTGTACACGGGGATACACCTGAAGAGGTATACGAGAACGTGAAGCATGTGATAGACATCAACAGTGACTCTGTGATTTGGGCCCCCAAGGAAAAGGATAAGGAAGTGTGGTCCTCATGAGATTAATATCAATGTGCAAGACATGACCCTAATTAAGAGAGTGACTTGGTCTGACCTTACCCGACATTCCTCGCCCGTATCCAAATTTGTCGGGATTTTGTCTTCAACCTTGAGGAAATTTCAGTAAAACTTTAGACAAAGAAACTTGGATTTGTTTTTATCTTTGTTATTTGAATACAGCCTTGGTTTGTTGATGATGCTGTGTCATTATTCAAAAGATGTCAAATTTGAGCAGCAGTAAGTCTGTCTCACACCTTGCTTTCATTTGTCATCCTGTCAGTGTTGTTTCATCCTCACACATTCACTCCATGAAAGATTTGAATCTTTACTCAGATTTTTTTTGAATGGGGAATGTGCTCCCCCTGAGCTCTGCCAAGAAGGGGAGTACAAGCAGAACAGATGAACATAAAATTGACTTTTGCATCATTGAATGCAGAAATGAAAGTACTCCATGCTGGGCTTTGGAAAAACTGGTCTAACATCACAATGCCCATTGTTAGGGGTATAGGAATAAGTAAACATTCACATTGTATTCAAAGCTTTTCTACCATTTGCTATTTTTATGTGCACCATTGTATTTAAATACATACCACAGAGCATTTAATCTAATCAATATGAATTTGCAGTTAACTGCATTGGGTACCACCTTCACTTAGTAATAGAAAAATGCACAGAGCACTATTGGACTCTACATGCCTGACACCCTTGTGTAAGCAGGGGCAAGGAATGCTTCAAAAAGTAGTACACCTTGGTAGGGTACTGGAAGTGAAAGTAGGACTGCAACCACTCAAACAAAAAGTGCTAGACCAGGTGTTCTGCTGCTATTGGTTGCCAGTAGAGGCTGAAGATTTAAAATAGACTTTCATTTAAAAGACTCCCACTTTCCTTGTTACCTCACCTGCCAACATCTTGATTTTGAGCCCATGCAGTAAAGCAAGAAACGTGCAATTGTGGGTATGGATTAATAGCACTATGAAGATAAATTCCCCAAAAATGATTATATGCATTACTCTGCCTTTTATGAACAAAAGTGCATGAATTAAATGAACATTCCTTGTAGAACTTGCTAATTTGTCGTGTTATCTCTAAGCCCCATAACATGAGTTATGTTCAAATTCTACATGTAACATTTAATTTGAGGTATTGGATGCTATGCTTATCCCAATATTCAAGGAAAGTCATGCATTTTTACTTGACTGGTAGAAAAATACTCCAAGAAATTCAGGGTTGGATTGGTTAATGCAGTTCTGAATGGGATCAAGAAGCAAAAGACAAGACTACCTTCACTGAAGGTCTGATGGACAAGAAGTAATGTTCGTAGTTCAGAAGACTACAAAGAGGAACAGATGGGAAGAGAGAGAGGACAATGCTGAGTTTCAATCTTCCTCAACCCTCACTATCCATGTTAAAAAAGGTTTCACTGCTGCAATTTTCTGGTGAAGGCTGATGCTGCCTGAATGATTATATACCAATAAAAGTGAATGCTAGTTAAGTAGAGAGCATGCCAGACCCTTCCATCTTTTCTTTATCATCCTGCCAAGACTCATGCAAGAGTTCTAATGCAATGTGGAATGCATACCAAATCAAGGAACTAAGAAAAAGCTTTCAAATGATTGCAACATGAAATTCAGAGTATTATGAGGGAACAAAAGGAACTTGTGAAGAGCAAATAAGTCTTTCTTTGGAAGGGTGTAAAGTCTCGTACTAGGTGGGTATGGGGAAGGGTCAATGCCTTTATGCTAAATTTCAAGACAGTGAAGAAACTGGAAAAGAACATCACTGTGTTTAATGCTTTCTGAATCTGAAACAGTACAACAATAATGATGTAGATAATAGCAATTCTTGGCAAAGACTGCTCCAGGTCTTTACATTTTTCTCCAGAACCTGAAATGAGGGATGGGAATGAAGACTGACTCAATTTGAATTAAAACATGATGAGAATGCGATTCATTCACAAACAGAAAAATTCAAACTCCATTTATGACCAACCACCCCCTGATATTACTCTCAGCGATACGTAAGGAGTGAATTTGTACATGCTGAAATATGCACATCATCATGCAGGAATTAAAAAAAATATAAATTCATCTTCTGTCAGTTTTAATTAAAATGAATGTGTGGATATTAAGAGAAAACCTCTTCCTGAAAGTCAGCAGCCCATGTATCAATTTGTATACATTTCAAAAGAAAATGGACAAAATACGAATGAATCCATAGGTACAACCATAGCCTATATGCATAAATATGCAACAATCTATCACTTCCTTTCTGGGTCGCATGCTCCAGGTTTGCTCACAAGTTGTATAAAAAAAATAGGCATTTTCATAAAATAAAAGTCTGCTCCCCAGTAATGTCTTGGAACAGGTAAATTATTAATTAAAGGCAAGTTATTCCCAATTTACATAATTATTTCATTACTTTCACTGGTCACACTTATAATTACGATCCATTAACTTATTTTTTCCAGCCTACGGTCTCTTATTGATTCGTGCATGTGCCCAATTGTTTTCTACTGAACCAATTAGTTCGTTGGTCTTTCCCTCTCGAAAAATGAGAAAAAGCCGAAACTCACATAGATCAAATTCCTTTGCGTGCGGGCTTGGGCGAGACGTTGACCATGACGGGCGGGCAGAGGTGGATGACCCGGGACTCCTCCTCACCAGCGCCGGACCCGGGCTTCGACCCGAGGTCGAGGGCGATGGAGATCCCAACGTGGCAGGACTCGGTCCACACGGTGTGCGAGATCCGCACCGAGGTCAGGATCCGCTGGGTGCGGCCTGTGGCGTCCGGACGGAGGTCGGAGCGACGCGGGGGGATCAGGTGGAAGGATCGGTCCGGGTACTTGACGCAGATGCGGAGGGCCCCAACCTCGGTCACGTTGGACACCTCGCAGTCGAGCGGGACGCCCAGGATGAGCCCTGCCGTGAACTTGAGTGGGACCTCCGCCTCTCCGCTCGGCTCGTAGATGGTCGCCACTGCCTCTCTCACCTCGTGGAATGCGGGAGAATCTCACTTATATACAATGGCAATGGCTCTCGGGGTTGCACTGGACTGCTCAGGTTACTTGAAAGCCCATACAATCAAGAAACACCGAGGGCTAAGGCTGATTGCAAAACTGTCCTCCAGTCATAGTTCAGTTGCAGTTCCGGTTAGGATTTTGTCATGTGAGTAGTTGCTAAGACCACAGTGGCACTTCAGTCAGGCCAAAGTCTGAACTGAAACTAGAACCGAACTGCCATTTTGAAACCAGCCTAAGTATTATATAATATATATTTAATCAATAAATTTTTTTCCTTCCGAGCAAGGAGGGTACCTGCGACTGAAGACGAAGGACGACGGGAGGGGCACGGAGGAGGAGCTCCTCCAGATTACTAGCAGACTGGGCCACGTCCGCGCTCTCCTCCGGCATGGCCAAGAAGTCGTTCAGCTCCTGCAGGAAACTGCTTCTAGCCAGACCCTCCTCGTCGAGGAATCTGCGAAACGATCAGAAAAATTAAATGTAGCCATCATGGCAACATGTACTATGAGAAAAGTTCAGGTTTTGCCCATGTTCTTATATTTTCAAATATACTAAAACTGTGTTCGCATCCCTTGAAAATACTCTTCCCTACCTTCCACATACTATCGCATCCTCGTCAGCAGCTTAATAAATCATACATGATACTCAAGAGTGTGGTAATGAGTCGACTCTCAGTGTAACGAACACTGACTGAACGAAAAATTCGTTATACCAAAATCATTGGCGTATGGAGTTATCCAGACGAATGTCTGTTAGCATCCATATAATTAAAAAAATATTGGGCGAAACGAAATTTCAGTTACAACGGGCGAACTTCGGTACCCTCCGACAAAAAGGACGCATGGCAAATATTGTCCGGTGTATTTGCCACCTGCCAGTGCTGCCTTAGCTGCACAGTCCACGAGAATGCAGAGGGTCATGGGACAAATAGAATGTGCGTGATGGGGGGAATGCGAATGTGGGTGAATGCGAGCGAATATGTGTTTAGCAGCCTAAGTAAACACGGACGACTGAGACAGGACAGAGCACGTTAAGTGCTCGGCTCCATTATGACCGGGAGTGGTGAAGTGGCAGTGAATGGGAATACCGTTCCCACACTTATTGCAGGAACTTTTAAGTGCACGGCCGAACCGAGCTCCTGCAATGACAATCCAAGTACATCGTGAAATGTTAAAAAAGTCCACTTTCATCACAAATCAAGTGGAAAAAACTCAAGTAAAAATTGAGCGCTTAAATTTGTATATGTTCATCATCAATATTGTCAAAATAGTAAATATTCTGAGAATATTGTACTAAGGATACTGAAAAATCAATGTCTAGTTTTGACGTAATTTGCGCACCGAGTATTGTAATATTCACAAAATTAAACAATGGCTACGGCAGAAAAATTTCCGATATGAAAAATCGTGAAACTTCGAACCATGTCCCAGAAACAGCGTAGTGGTGATCGGGATCCTCAATATTTAAATTCAAATTCTATGAGAAAAAAAAGGAAAATATTTTTCTTGAAGTAATACGTTCAAAATTTAAAGAAAAGGAAAAAAAGCAATCGGAACTGCTCCAGGACGATCGCATATCAGGTATCAAGACCCATTTATGTTTTTTGTGCTTATCTTGTGTGCTGGGTAGCTTTTCATCTCGTGATACTTCTTTCTGCTTTTCCTGAATTGGAGGGCGGATTATTTTTTTTCCGGGCGGCTTTCCCCCCCCCCCCCCCAAGACCAATCTAGGTGGTGCATGGTGCATTTATGATAGGTTGCACGGAAAATTATTTCCTTGGTTTCCTCTGACAACATCATTATCCTTCGCGGGAGAAACGGATCGACAACGCTGTCAAGAGTCAGGGTTACATGAACGACAAAAGAATATTATTTCTGTCAACACGCATTATTCAAGTACAGGATGATCATTTTAAGTGAGAACCCTTGAAACAATTAATAACTTTGGGTAGGAAAGAGCTGGGAGCATGAAAATTAGTAGCAACGTACTTTGTCGTCCGGAAAGACGTACTGAGTATTGGATTGTGGTGAGCAATAACCCGACGCAGGATTGTGGGAGACATCTTTTTCACAGACACCATAACCTCTCAACGGTACATTGATATAGTCCATGAATTTCTTGGACACCTGACCGAAGAGGAGATTGCCAGAGCATGGTAGCAGAAAGATGGTGCAACAAGTCACTCATCGAGGCAGAGTTTAGCCGACCTTTCCCTCTTGTTTGGGGAGCGCATCATTTCGAAAGGATTGTGGCCGCCACGCTCTTCAGCAGGGCTGCCCAGAGGCAATTGGGGCAATCTGCCCGGGCCCCTCCTATCAAGGGGTCTCAAGGGGGGCCTCCAAAGGGCCTCAAAGGGGCCCCCAAGGGGTCTCCGGTTTAGTTTTGCCCCGGGCCCCTGGAAACCTCTGGGCTCACCAGATCTGTCGCCTTTGGAATTCTCCCTATGGGACTATGTTAAGGACAATGCCTACAACAATAATCCACACACTTCCGATGAATTGAAAAGCAACATCTCGTAACTCATTGCCGATATCCCAAGCATCACATCACAGGCAGTGTCTTCCAGGATGCTCAGACGTGCACAGTTGTGCATCCAAAATGGCGGTGGTCAATTTCTACACCTTTTGTAATAAACCAATACTCGGTACGTATTTCCAGACAACAATGTACGTTCCTACCAATTTTCATAATCCCAGCTATTTCCAGCCAAAATGTATTAAGGATTTCTTGGGTTCTCACTTAAAATGATCACCCTATATAATGTATGTGTATATATTATTCATGATGAATGGCAGAGGTACAGATACAATGAACTCAAGTTTTTCAAACAGCAGTAATCCTGCAGTCCCGTTCATTCGGACAAAAGGCATGGTTCCAGCAAATTCCACAAAATCTATTTTGAAAAAACCTACTAAAAATGGTACTGCTTAACACCATGCAATTCAAATAGTGTTATTCTGTAGCTCCCCGCTTATGCTGACGAGCTTTCTAGTTCCCTGGACCATACTACCCTAGTGGTAGTATGATCAAAACCCCCCAGAATTGGCATAAGTGACAGGAGGCATAAGTCCGCAAAAAAGACCCCCAAAAAACCTATAAAAAGTTAAGGCATAGTTTTAATATCATAACAATAACAGTAACATTCACGCCCGTCTCCCGTCGGGTGGGCACGAGCAGCAATCAAACCTCTTCATTTATCCTATCCTTGCATGCTACCCTGGCTTCAGCTACATCCATGCACCTTTTCACACATGCCCTCCTGCTCCTCTTACTTCTGATGTCCCTTTCAGCATTCACTTAGTCCAGTCAAGTCTTCCTTGGCCTACCTCTACCCTTCTGTCCATCCACGACATAATCCCACATACCTGATCTGATCTCAAATGACCTGTTTCCCACGTTTTCCTGTGCATTTCTGGAAACAATCCTACTTTCATTGATCCAGTGTTGGAAAAATTCTGAAATGTACATCTTGGGAATTTCCTTCTTTATGTTCATGTTTTATTACGGTGATTATCATTTATATATATATTTAATGTATTCAACGGTTATATATATTACTTTTGAAAAATAGTATGGATTCATTTTGCCGAATAAGAAAAGAACCCGTAAGAGATACTTGGAAATATTACTTAAGTAGGGATTTGCACGTACTTTGCAGGTATGGGCTCTTTTTTCCTGTGGGGGTTCCTCGTGTATTCGATCGAGAATATGGAATTCGAGATTTTGTCCATTCGAGACATTTTGTCCGCATACTGGGGAAGTGACCATCGCGATGGGAAATGAAGCCATTGATGCCTCGAACTATTGACAGTGGCACCGTGACAGCCCTACTCTTCCTATTGCTAGTGAGAATCGTTTATCCAGGTGGGTCCAATTTTTTAATTATTATTTTCTTTCGCTTGGCGTTTTCTCTTTGGTCATCGGAATCGGCAGCTTTCAAACATACTGATAGCCGATCGCACCAATGGTGCCACATTGGCAATAGATACCGGTGGTTGCCGATGTATTGGTACAACCCTAAATAATACCAAATAAAACACCATGGAACCCAATAAAACAGAGACTGCTGTGCTTGGTATATTAAATACTCCTTTAACACCAAGACGCGAATATAGGTGGTCATGTTGTGAGGTTTTCAACTCCGTTCGCAAGGCCGGTTGTTGGTCGGGGTGAGGGGTGGTCGACTTAAAGGGTTTCAAAATGCATCACCCTTCTGGGGAGGAAATTCCGTTCTGCAAAAAGACGGTCATTAACCCTTTAAATCCTACGCCCGAGTATACTCGTGATAGCTCCGTGGGCTCCTTAGGAAACTCGGGAGTTGAAGGGTTAAGAGGGGTGGTCTGCTGAAAGGGGTGTTCGGGGTTTCACTGTACTTGAAAAAGTTTCAAATTTACATACATGTATTACTGTATATACTCATCGCCAAATAAACGAAGCACGACCAAGGAGTCGAGCGATTTTGATTAAACTTAGTACACAAGCTCGTACTTGCACATCATGAAATCGATTAGAGTTTCAGTGAGAGGGATGAATATTCACTGAGAAAACTTGCCAAACAATCCAATTTCAATAGTGGCTATGGGGTCGTACTAATCGCCCGAAAAGGTCATCTAGATTTTTAACGGTGCAACGTGGCAGGAAAACTCAAGATGTGCAGAAAAATCGAGCGAGGTTTCGTATTCGTGAGATGCGGCATCGCAAAGAAAACCTGCCAAACGCCCGAGGAATTGGGGAAGAGGGCGGTGCCATTGAAGGCGCCTGATTCCTTTCCTCTTTCCCTCAAATCGCTTCATTACAGGGTCGCTGCTGAGAGTTTAACCGCGAGGCAGTGCCAAGATGAGATCTCTGGAGCCAATTTCAACAATTTGTAAGGGTGTTTGATCCATGGAGGGCAATTGAAATGCGTATCATCATGGGCGTCCGCTCTAAGGGGCAAGGGGGGGCAACTGCCTACCCCCCTTCCTGGAAATCGGGCATGGCAATTTACTGGTAGTAATAAAATAAATAAATTGAATGTACTTAATGTGGAAATCTCTTCTTCCGTAGCACCATTTAGACCAATCTTACCGCGCAATATGAAATATCGTTTCCGATTTTATCAAGCAAAGTATTTTTTATTCTTCCTACCAAAAGATGACGCTACTAGGCCTAACAATGTTAGAAATTCCACTTAACCCATCTGGTCCAGAGGCTCCGGTAACACTACTGCTCTACATGACATCAAGTACGTCACCATGGCAAGGCGAGTCCATGGTGAGTCATTCCATGTCAAGTGGTCCAAAGGTGGTTGCTGCACCGACTGGGATTTCTTTGTTAAAAATCATGTGTACTGGGGGTTATGAGAAACGGAATCCGAAATTTCAGCTGTTTAGATCCAACGATCTTTGAGATATGCTCTTCGAAAGTTTGCGAGGAAAGGATAAAATGACCCTTCAAACAAATGCAATATCTCCCGAACTACTTCAGCTAAGAAGTATGAATAATACAGTGTGACAAAAGTCACTTGACAAATGAGAAGAAAAAAAAAATATCTCTAAAATATTTGTTTTTGCTTCGTAGGTGTTCACTAAATACGCGTTAAAATTCGCTGTCATGAACTTTTCGGCGCCAATCGAACAAACTTGGTGCCGAGAAGGTGATGGTGTGGTGTGGTCTGCTTGGTGACAAGGTTGTGGGACCACACTTCGAAGAAATGTGGTCGACTTCAACTTCTTGTGGACCAACACACATTTGGGCAAGTGTTGGACACAACTGTAGCTGATTTTCTTCATGCTTTGCCACCGAATACACGGCGCAAATGTGGTTCCAACTGGACGGTGCCACTCCCCACTTTGCTCTCACGATCCGTCAGAAAATGAATAACCTGTTTGGTAATCAGTGGATAGGACGGGGTGGACCTGTGTCATGGCCCCCTCGATCA